TCTCTCTCTCTCTCTCTCTCTCTCTCACCTGTTCTTCCTGTGTGTATATGTACATGTGATCAGCCAGCTTTCTAATTCTATGGTGGGGCCATGGTTTCCTCACTGTTGTGGATTCTCCTGCTCTGGAACCATAAGCAAAACTAAGCTCTTTCTTCATTAAGTTGCTTTTGACCATGACATTTTACCACAGGAAAGTAATTAATACAATTAATAAATGTGTTTGTGTGTGTATTTGTATACAAATGTGTGTATGTGTTCATCTACTTTTACGGGTGTCTGCATGTGTGTAGATTAACATGTATGTGCTTGAATGTGGAAGCTGGAGGTTGAATTTAAGAGTCTTTCAGTTGCTTTCAATTTTATTTAATGAAACAGACTCTTGCTGGACCCCAAACTAACTAATTTAGCCAGGCTGGCCAGCTGCCTGCCCCAGGGATCCCATCTATACACCTCCTGAGCCCTACAGTTACTGCCAGGACACCATGCTTACGTGGATTTCATGTAGGGGCTGCAGATGTGGACCATGTTCTCATGCTTATGTGGCAAAAGGCTTTCCCACTGATCTAGCCAGGAGATGACTCTAGATATGAGAAAATCCAGAAATAAGAAGCAGACACATTTTATATATTATAAAGTGGACATATATTATTCATGTGATAAAATAATACAAGCTTTAATATGATGACTTTTAGAATCACATTAAATATGAAGTAACTGAAAAGTAGAATGATTATAGAAAGTTAACAGAAATAAATAATTCAGTAAATAGTACTTGGGTATAAGCTATTGAAACAGAAACAAAAAATGTAAACTTTACATTTTATTCTCACAAAATAAAGCCTGAAGTTGAAATAACTTGACCATGTGATCTTCTGGAATTCATGTGACGCTAATAATTGGTGACATATAATTGGTGACGTGGCTACTCTCCATGAGCAGAGCCTTGCAGAATCCTTAGTTACTTTTGCCATCGCTGAGCCCAAATGCCCTGCAGGATGCTTCATTTCTGCTCACAGTTGAGGGAACAGTCCACCTTGGCAGGGAAAGCATGGCTGCAAGGGTGGAAGGCAGCTGCTCCCACAGCACCCACACTGGAAAAGCTGATGGTGAGGAGGACAGATACTCAGGCCACGTTCCTCCTCATGGAGCCCAACCTGTGGGATGTTGGTGTCCACATTTAAAATGGATAGTTCGACTTCAATTAACCTAATCCAGAAAATTCCTCACAGGTAATATCTGAGGTGTGTTTCCATGCTGACTCTAAATCCAGACACATTAACCATCACACAGTGCTGCTCCCTGGAACTAACATCTCTTAACTCTTTATTGTTGACATCTTAATGTGGCAAACAGTCAATATTACCTTTTCTGTTTCAAGTATAAGGAAACAAGGAGAAAGACAGAGGACAAATAAATGACCCAAGCTCACCTGTCTAGGTAGGGACAGACACCAAACTGCTTCAAGGACTAGATCCACAGTTGCTGTGATGTCCTCGTGATTCCTTCAGATAACACTCACTTGAGAAAGCGTCCTGTGTTAAAAAACTGCATGCTCCTTTTTGTAATGTTTTGCTCTTATTTACAATTTTAATAAAAGAAATAGAGAAATGAAAAGGATAGTAAATAAATACAGCATATGATTTTAATGCCCTTGAGAAAAATACAGAAATCATTAGGCATAGAAAATTGTAAAACCCAGATCCACAACTGCAGGCAAATTTCAGTGTTGAATGTAAGCCAACCGTCTGTGTGTTCAACTAGGAAGGAAAACAACAGAATGGAAGAACGTCTTGAAAACACAAGAAACACTTACTTCTGGTTGGATCTCAAAAAAGAGACATGGAAACCCCTGGAAGAATGGCAAAGTATCTTTGAATTTGCATAACTCCATCCCAGAAACAAACTGAAATTATCAAGCTACTTGATGATAAAGCAGGATGCTGGAAAGCGCAGTGAGGTTACAGTGTATGTCGGAGGCCTGAAAGACTGGAAGAATCATACAAGGGACGTGTTTGCTGCATGGGACCTCTGACTTATGTCACATTTTCCAGATTTGTATCCTGCAATGAACCCTATCTTATTTTCGCTTTTTATATTTTTTGTTTCCTTTAATTAGCATACTATAGAAGGCAATGTGCTTTATTATGGCATTTTCATACATACATAACATCTGATGTGTTTCCTTCCCCTACTCCTCATCCCTGTGTCCTGTGACATCCTCTAACTGGTGCCCTTTCCTCGTCTACATAGTGCTAGCTTCTGCTTAGTCGTATTTTAAATATTTATTTTATTTTCATACTGTGTGAGTGTGTGTGTGTGTGTGCATGTGTGTGTGTGAGAGAGTGTGTGTGTGTGTGCACGCACTCACACGTGCACGTGAAAGCACAGGTGCAAATATGCTCATGAGCACAGGTGCCCCATGGAAGTCAGAAGTGAATGCTGAATGTCCTGGGGCATGAATTGTAGGTGACTGTGAGTTATCCATCTTGGATACTGGAAACAGAACTCAAATTCCCTACAGGTACAGCAAGTGCTCTTATTGCTGAGTCATCTCTCAAGGCCCTGCCATCACTCTCGCCCTGCCCTCTTAAGACCCTGTCCTCCCCTCCCTTGATTTCCTTTCTCAGTTCATAGCATACATGCACACACACACACACACACACACATCATGTATTCTGCATATAAAGGAACATTTGTCTTTCTGAGTCTGATTTATTTTAGTTAACTTTATGATCTCCATTTGCATCCATTTTTAAATCAATGTCATGGTGCCATTTGTCCTTAGAGTGGCATAAAATTCCACTGTGTCTATGCACATTTCCATCACCTAACCCTCTGTGGCTTAGCCTTTGATGTCCTTGAACAGCTGTTGCCTCTCCTCTGTCACACACAGCTGCTCAGTTCCTCCTGGCCCTGCACAGTCACTTACCAGCATACCCACTCTTTTTACCAATATAGCCACAGCTAACCTGATGTGTAGCTGCCCTTGCTCTGAGTCCTTCAGTCCTTTCTCCATGTCCATCTCCCTTCATAACTTATTAACTTAGAGGTGAAGTTTTCTATTCTGCTAGGGAGAATGCTTATCACAGCACACAGCTCTCTCCATAAACATTGGCACTCTTCAGAGAGATTTCCTTGTCATGGTTTTGTCTAAGTGTCTAACATCTCACCCAACGAGGTGTTCACGTATTTCAAAACCTCTTTATATATTCTACAGAAGATAAAATATTTTCTTTTTATAATATTTGCTATTTACAAAAATAATGTTACTTGTGGGGGTTTAACATGCAATTGTAGTTGCCCTTGGAATTAAGGAGAGACTGTCAGATTATAAAGTAACTGGTTTTAGGAAGATGTGAGTTGCTCTGTGTGAATATGAAAGCTGAAAACTGAACTCAGATCCTCCTCAAGAACAATATTGTTTACTGTTGAACTTTCTCTCTTGCTCCCTAATTTTTTAAGGCATGGGTTGATAATAACATCAACAGTGCAAACACCAATATGATCCTGGACTCATTGAATTGGACATAGTTGCAGATTGGCATCCAAACCTTCTCTTCATATTGTATACTGGCTTACTCAGATTCCAGAAACAGTATACCCAGCATTTCAGATAGTTTCTAGATCAGAATTTGAAGAAAAATGGGCTGTTGGGAAGACCCCAGAACAAAGCTGACATATTATTTACTAGAAGGTTTGCTGTGTTTCTGTTGATTTGGGGATGCTGGATGCACCCCTTTCATAGCTCTGTCTCAACACAAATAAATCAAGAGCAGCATTTACACTAAATCTACTGTCATTCAAATGCTATCTGTTCTTCTCGGCCATCAGTTTTCCCCTTTAATGTATCTAAAAATTGTCACTTCTAAAAGGTAAATGGCTCTCCAAAGGCTAAATAAAACAGAAATAGTACTCATAGGAGCAGCTTGCCTTTTAAGACTAAATACATCAAGTTTGGGTGTCAGAGGTTTTATGGAGGTGTTTATTTACTTTTTAAATCATATTGCACTGAAAAATAGCTCCTGATGTGTATTCATATTCAGTAAAGGAAGCTCAGTAGTAGAAAAGGACATCATGTCATACAATTTCAATATTATAAACAGCATTGTAGTACTGGAACATAAACTGGTCTCCTATATGACCTACTGTTCCCCTAGCTCCCACAAGCTGGGAGCAGTGAGATGTCGAGGAATGGTCCCCCTTCATTTTCTGCTTTGCTCAAGTGATTTCTTCATTTTGTCTATGTCCTTTAAAGTGATCAGCAAAGGCAGGATTACCCTCTTAATATGAAAGAATCATATTAAGGAATCTTATTAAGATAATGTTAAGATGTTTCTTTTAAGATTTACTTTTAGAGGGACCAAAGAAATAACTCGGTGCTCAGAGGAATCAAGTTCAGGACCTAGCATGACCATCGGGGAACTCACAATCACATGTAACTCCAGTTTTGGAGGATCTGCAAACACCCCACTCACATGTACATACTCCAGCCCCACATATAAACATAATCCAATGTAAAACACATCATAGAAGACCAGTTTCACTCACAATGTGTATACTGGGTTTCATCCTTTCTCTTTATGAGTAAATGGTTTCTCCTAAAACTACTAGCTATCTTCTCCAGGCCAGGATCAATTAGCAGCCACTGGACAGCTGGGAAAGTTCCAATTCCTCTGTAAAGCACGTCTCTATGAGGCTCATTAGAAAGCACATGTTTAAGCACCCCTTAGGAGGCCCATCCAGGAAATGGATCACTGGGACCCTAGAAAGGGTGGGCTCTACTTTCTGAAATGGGACTTACTATTTTTTGAAGTTCCATGGAAATGCCCTCTGTTGCCACATCCAGTAACCTATTTGTCTCAGTTGTAACGTTATGATCAGAAATATCTATTTCAGAACATGTTCTTAGCATGTTAAAGACGCTGGGAATTTATGATATGTGCGAGTCCCATGCTCTGTTCACAGAACAGACATTAATGTCCTCTGAGAACTCTCTCACAGACCTCTGTTTTCTAGCCTTTCTAAATCATGACGTGTTGGAGGATCTTTGACATCCTCAGGTGGTAGAGAATCATGTAAATCGATGTTGTTATTATCAAAGGCCTCCTCATTCCGGACCAGTTTGCCTGGCATCATTGTTCTAATTTACATGCAAGCGCTGTGGCTCAGAGTAGTGTTGAATGCCATGTCTCCCTCTGCGGGTACTTTTACAGTGAGAGAATTGCCACGGTTGAATGTGCCACTGAAGTTGAAAGGCTAATGTTATCGACTGAATGAAATAAGGGAACTTTCATCTGATGCATGGTAATAAAAATGAGTTAGTGCAGCATGTAATGCTTTGATTGTTGGGAATAGGGAACTTGTAAAGAATGGATTTTAGAAGAAGAAAGGAGGAGGAAAGAATGAAATTTGATTTTAAATCCCAGCTATTTCATCTTCTGAAGGACTATAATTTAGCATATCTGACTTTTTAAAATTGAAATGTCAACATATACAAGAGTATTACAAGCGAGTTCTACTATGTTATTAAAGTCACGCTGAATGTTTCTGTTTAAAAGTTCAATAATTAATGTTCTGGCTCCGTTGCTTAGTTAGCTAAAGCACCTGCATAGTGGAATAAATTCAATAATTATTTGTAATTATTTTCCCCAAAAGTTCATCTTTCTAATTTATTTAAAAAAACTAGAAAGACCTGGATAAATGCATTAATTTTTAAAGTGTTTCAGATGGAATAAAAGTTAGATGAAAAGAAATGAAAGGTTGTGGAATCATAGGTAGCATAAAAAATACAAGAGCCAGGGGATGGGACGACAGTGAGGTCTAAAATTCGGTCCTCTAGATACGATTGTCCAGCGTAATGATGAGAACATCTAAGCTGTGGCCACATGCATCTGATCTTCAATAAAAGACAGGAAAGTAGGGGAGACTAGAAGGAAAGAAGGAGGCCATCAGGAGGGAGAGGGGGTAGCGAAGACAGTGTGTGTGACCGTAATAACTGCATCTATGTCTGAGAGCTGTGAAAATGCAAATAATGAAAACATAAATAAAATTTAAGTCTTTGAATTTTTACTTACCCTTTAGAGTTCTCTGAGCCCCTTTTCTCTAAACAAAGTTGCAGTAAAATATACACGGGGAAATATAAATGAGTAATAAGCGCATGTGTATATGTGCACACCCATGTGTGCAGGAAGTCCAGTGTATCTCACAGACCACAGACACTAGTTCACCTTATACAGGAAGCCAGCCTTAACTAACACATTGTTAATTTTTGAGATTATAATAACATCATTTTTTCTTCCCTTTCCTCCCTCAATGTCCTCCTGTGTCCCTCCCAGCTCTCCTTTAATTTCATGACCTCTTTTTCCACTAATTTTTGTTGCCTGCAGTAATGATAGAGAAAGGGGCTGGGAGGAAGAGGGAGAGAGAGAGAGGTCTCTATATGAAGCCTGCTCAATCTGTATAATGTTACTTGCAAAAAAAATTATATACATGTGAATCTCTGCAAAGAACAGGGGAGATCATTGGATACCCCATGGGGCTGGAATTACATGCTGTTGTGAGTTCTTTGATTTGGCTAACCAAACTCAGACCCTCTACAAGAGCAACAAGGGCTCTTAAAAGCTGAGACATCTCTCCATTACCCTCAATTAACTTTTTGAATTCCTGGAACTCAGTGAAGAAATTTCCCCACATTATATTCCATGGTATTAGGTCCTAGATCAGCTGGCCCAGAGAGCTTCTAACCATAGGACCAATAGGATCGATAGCTCCACCATTTGTTTGGACCCACCTTCTGGCCTGTCACCACAGGCTTACAGTCTCATCAGTTCTATACTGGATCAATACGCCCCTTTGCAGAATTTTGTGGTTCAAATCTTCATATCATTATGTGAACATTCTGTCTTGTTTGCTTTCCAAGCTGCCTTGATGAGATCCAAGTACTTAGCACAGATCCTTCTGAAGTTTGCTCACAAGTGGCTTCTTCGTGCATCACCTACACAGAACCATACAACCCCATTTTCTGTCTCCATTTCTTAGGACTGGCAGTGTATAGTTTTATCCACTTCACCTTGTTCCTAAGCAGTCTTAACCCTCAATTTGAATGATCATGCTGGATCTAAGGCCACCTATTCAGGTAAGTGTTCCTGTTTCCAGAAACATTACCTGTTGTGCCCAGTTCAAAGTAGACAATAGTTTCCATTCAACCCAGAAACACTAATAAAAAAGAAGCTATGTTCTAAGAATGTTAAAAGCTCAGAGTTCTGGAAGCCAGGAGAGTCTCAAACACTGAGCTCTTGAAGGAGAATGATTCAAACCTTGGGTTCATTTGGATAATTTGCCTAATATAACCTTTCTAAATTCATAGGCACTGGAGTAGGTTCATGGATATTGTGAAAACTGAGCCATAACCAACCATCCAGTTCAGTTTTCACCTCAGACTGACCCTCATTCTGTGTACATAAACCAAGAAAAATCATCTGATTTTTCTGAGTCTTGTTTTACTTATTTTTAAAATGCAGGCATAATCACATTCTAGAATCTGCTTTGATTGCATATTATATTAATTAAAACTTAAAAGGCACCTCAATCATGATGCAAAATAGGGATATTTTTGAATTACATGGACTTTACTAGACTCTTGTATAAAACATTTCAAAACATATTAGCGTATTTAGTACTCAAGTCTCCTATAAGGTTATTTTCCCCATGATAAAGAAAAGGAATTAAATTCAGAAACTTGAAGCATGCCTGATATCAGCTTGGACTTTTCTCCCAGAAAATAAAGTATTTGCTATTAAGCTTTCTTTGACATAATTACAAGAGGAAAATTAAGTGGTGGGCCAAGGTTACAAGAATCATAGTGAAAGTTATTGTCTTCATTTTCCAGCAGGGGAAAAAAAACCTACTTGAAAAGCTGGTGTCTAAACATTGCCAATTACCATGTGATGAGAATAAAAATGGTGAAATTAAACAGAGGTGATGAACAATGCCAGGCACTTGGCCACCCTACAGACAAAGTTAATAGAAAAGTAATTGCTGGATGTAAGTGCAATGGGCAGTTGTCTCCATGCAAGTTAAACCCACAAATAGCTATTAAAACCCTCCAGACTTCCAATACTAGCTGCCTATGTCACTTCTTTGTCACTTATTCTTTGCTGAATTGCCTTATTAATTAACTTGAAATGTGCATCTATTTTCTCTCCAGCACACCTGAGACCTACCAGCATAACTAGCCCCTTCTCTGCCCGGAGGAACAACTCTTCGAGAGAAACTAGGCTGAGCTACTTCACTGAGGACACAGCCAGTCAAGGATCCCCAGATCACCAGCCACATTTCTGAACCCACAAATCCTCTTCCCTTCAAGATTCCTCTTAGCAAAACAACACAAATTAGACATACCAAATACATTCTATAAAAATTAATCTAAATAAACAAAGACCTCAATTTTAAACTCTAAACTATACAACACAATAAAACGATGGAAGAGGTTCGATGACATTGGACAGACATGTGGGACAGTGATCAGTACAACAATGATTTCATGCTGTATACATGTACCAAATATTACATTGGAAGCACTTGCATACTTTTGCAGTGGCTCACAGTTGTCTACAATTCCAGTTTCAGGGAATCCAATGTCCTTTTATAGTCTTCACAGGCACCTACATTCACACGCATGCACCATCGCACAGACGTGTATGCATGTGTGGCACACACACACATAATTAAAAAGTAAAACAAATATCTTTAATCTTTTAAAAATAAAACAAACATAAATGTAGAATAAGATGAGAAATTAAATATATGCTCCTCAAGAAGTTAGGGTCCAAGTTCTGGAGTAGAGGAGAATGCATAGGAAGACCTTGATGAAATGTTCTTAGGATTAACACCCACAAAATGAAGTATTCTAGAGCAGCCAAAGGAAGAGTAAAGTTCCCTTGACACTCTGTTATCCCAAGGTAGTCCCAGAAGATGTTCTGGAACAGCAAAGACCATCCAGATTTTGCAAGTTGGGGTAAAAGAGACAAACCTTCTCTAGTTGAAGACTACTTGTTTTTTCCTGGCCCTCCCATACCCAAATAATCACACAGAAACTATATTAATTAAAACACTTCTCAGCCTCTTAGCTCAGGATTCATATTAGCTAACATCTCAAACTAACCCATTCCTGTTATTTTATATTTTATCACTAGGCTTGTGGTTTACCTGTAAGATTCCCGAGTGTCTGTCTCCTTAAATGGATACATGAGATCTTCTTGACCCTGCCAACTCTCTCTATATATCAGATTTTCTGCCTGGCTATATTGTGCCTTACTATAGGCCCAAAGCAGCTTTATTCATTAACCAATGAAAGCAACATATATACAGAAGAACTTCCCACGCCAGTCTTCCACTCTTCCACACCTTCATCAGGTACTGTATTTGGTGCACCCAAACAGTATGTAACAGTATGACCATGGAGAAAGAGTGCTGAGAGCAACTTCCTGTTCTCTTCACAGCTGTCAAGGGGATCACGGCAGCACCAGAGCATGCACCAGACAACTTTCTAAATATCTACGAATTCCTGACATGTCGTTCACTGCTAGACTTTGCCTCACATGACAGGGACTTGGGGTTAATAATAAACTCCTTCCCAAAATTAAGAAAACAATAAATGAACAAATGTCTAAAAATGAATTTTACACTCTCGGTACTATTTTTGTTTGCAATATTCTATTGGAGTATTGTAATTGCAAGATGTTATTTCAGCTCTGACTTTTAAAAAATACAAATTCTAACTCAATAAAACAGCATAAAGAACATATAAAACCATCTAATTAGTTAATTTGTTGCTGCTGTGATAAAGGCAGATTAAGAAAGAACAGATTAGTTTTGTGTCTCAGCTGTGAGTACAGTCCACTGTGGCACCAACGGCATGCTAGCAGGAGCCTGAGGTGGTTGCTCACGTGGTGCCTGCGGCCAGGAAGCAGTGAGAAACTGAGGCTACTGCTCAGCACACCTTCTCACCTTCCTTTAGTCCTGATTCCAGACCATCAAATGGCACTGCCCATGTTAAAGGTGAGCCTTCCTTTCTCAATTGATCCAACCTAGAAACTTTCCGGGAGACAAGTCAGGGGCATTTATCTGTTTCCTTAGGTGTTTCGAGATCCTGTCAAGCTGATGATATTAACCATCGTAGTCATGTTCCCTTTCTCTCACCCCGCCTTTCTTTCTTTTTTTCTCTCTCTCCTCCTTCCTCCCTCCCTACTTTCCTCCCTTCTTCTTCCTTCCTTCCTCCTTCTCTATCTCTCTCTCTTTCTCTCTCTCTCTCTCCCTCTCTCTCCCTCTCTCTCTCTTTCTAAAACTTCCGCCCCTAACCTTGAATTGATGTGGTGAATTCTATTGAGATTGCAAAAATAATCAGTGAAACCTCAAACCCAATCCATCTATGAATCTAGTTACAAAGGAGAAGTATAACCCAGCTGTGCTATAATAAATGCTAGGACTTCAGTCTTATAATTTAATAGAAATTATGATTATATTGACAGATGCCCTTAAAGGGATGTTTATTTATATACACTGTGGGGACCATTCATGGCTACAATGTTAAGTTTATACTTTGTTAACTATTATCCAAATGACTTATTCTATAACAAGTTAAGGTCTATTAATCTCAAGTCATCAGTTAGCACACCACTTTGAAATTGTGAAATACTTTAATATATTGCTAATTAAAGTGGAAGAAAAGATAGATGCCTGTTTTCATAGCAACTAGCTGTCATTGCTCCCTAAGGACTAGCTAATGCAAATAACTTTTCTTTTTTTTCTCTTATCAGATTCATATTTTGGAGAGATGACAGTGCTAGAGGTTGAAACTAAAGTGCTAGGCAAGCACTCTACCACTGAGACATTTACCTTCTAGACTAATTACTAACCTGCAAAACCCAAAGAATTATGATGTGCCTCAACAAATGAAATTCACCCAGACTATTTTAAACTGGGAGTTCAGCAATATTTCCTTTAATGTCAAGAATTTAAATGCAATTTTGAGCACATTGTGAGAAACATTGCTCCCTCTATCTATTGCCATCTATTTAAGGCATGGATTGAACATTCTCTAGAAGGTCTTCTAGGCAGGACCTAGACATGTCTGGGAGAGACTTCCTAGATTGGGTTAACTGTGGTGGGAAGAGCCACAGTAAAATGTATGAAAGGGACCATTCCATTCAGGACTGAGCAGAGAGGAGCAAACCAGATGAGCACCGACATTCATCTCTCTCGGCTGACTAAGGTGGTAATGTGACCTTATGTTTATGCCTCCGTGACTTCCTTGCCATGATGAATGGTGCCCTCAAACTATGAGACAAAATAAATTCTTCCACCTTTAAATCCCTTTCTTGTGTCTGGTGTTTGGCCTCAGCAATGAGAAAATTAACTGATACACCAGTCCAGAGATGACTGACGGGCTCAGAACCTAGCCATGTGACTGCCTCTGGCTTCATGCTATTTTCTTAAATTATACCAATTGCTTCCTTGCTATTTCAGACTTCCAAAGAGATAATTCTCCCAAATTTTCCTTACAGTGAAGCATACTTGGGTTGTCCATTGCCTTCATATTGGAGCCCCAATTGTCAGGTGCTATTCTGTATCTTTACCAACTACTTGCTGAAATTCCTTTGTTTCTTGAACTATTTAATCCAAATGCTATTTGTGTTCTCCTTTGGGAAGATACTTGTCCAAGTGAAAAGAGCCAAAAGGCAGCATAAATTTAGAATGGCCATCCACAGCAGTTTTGAGAAGTTGAAAATGAAATCAGCTAGAACATTAGCCTAAGAACATCAAAATTTTACCTGGCTTGTTCGGTCCCATATCCTCGGTGAATATCATGATAATATATAGAAGACAATCTATAAACAGTCATTGATATAGTGCAGTAAATTTCCATTTATAGTAAACATGGGAATATGTTAAAAACAAAGTGATCACTGGTGCCTGGGACGAGTGTGAGGAGAAATGTGGAGAAGGTGAAGTTAATGGGAGGCAGTTAATAGGATGTGGTCGGATGGAAGAATGATATCTAATCTTCCATAACACCGTGGGATAATTCTGACTGACAGCAAGGAACTGAATGTTTCACAATAGCTGATAAAGAGGATTTTAAATGCTTTTATCACAAAAATATGATAAAGCTTTCAAGTGATACTAGCCAAA